CTTGGTCCCCTCTGCCTTTAACATCCACCTCTTCCCTCCCTCTCTTCATACATTCCTTTCTCCTCCTTTCCTTCCAGGATCCATCCCTGGCTCTTATCCCTGTTGTTTTATAGATATGAAGAGTAAGTTTGTAAAAACTAAAGTACAAAAGCTGAATAGTTCAAAGGGGAAGTGAAACGGAGGTGACTCTAATCTTCAGCAACTGTAGTAACCATAGCTGCTCCCACTCTAATTTTGTTCGGATGTGACAGTTTCACCCGCTTCTCCAGGGCGCATCCCAGTTTCCTTTCCCCTGCGTCACACCAGGGTGCCCTGCTCAGGATTGACTCCAGGTTAGGCACAGGGAGCACAGTGCTGAGGGCCTGCGATGCCCTAGAGCCCCATGAAGATGGTTTTTTCCTTTAAAATTAGAAGAAAAAACCCCAAACTTTTAGGGTAGGAGAAAATGTTTCGAATTTTAATCCAGCCTGGGTTACATTTGTCTTTGTACCAATACAGTCATAAAATATGATTTTTAGTATTTTGATGGAGGACTGTGCCCCTGAAAACAACAGTGCCAACAAATCAGAATGCAGCCTGGTCACTGCTGATTCTAACTTTCATCTGGTTGTGCTACCTGAATATCTATCTGCCTTCCCCAAAATCTCTGTGACCCTCGAGAATAACAATTGACATTTAATACACATTTTTGAGCACACAGTGAACTAAATTTTGGGGATTCAAAAATAAAAGACATGCTTTCTTCCTGCTAGAGGGTGCTCAGGTTGCTGATGGAAAGAAAATGGTGCAGGAAAGCAGGACCATTGCTGAGCGGAGTAGTGGATCCGGCTGAGGTTGAAACTATAAAAGTGAATTAGTTCCCATTGGCCCAGCAGTGTGGTCTTCTTTAACAACAGCCTGCAGCCCAGGACAAGTACCAGATGAAAGGAATAATTGCACATATTCATGTTGGAAAAAGGAGTCAAGAAGATTGCAAGAGGCTTTGCTGGAGGGCCTTTTAAGTGATCATCCAAGGCAGTCATGCTGGGTAGGACTGAGAAATAGATACACTTGGAGAGCAGGACATTGGGGTGAAGGGGTTGGAGGTCATAATGTGGTCAAAACACACCGAATGAGAGAAGTTGGCTAAAAAGTTGGTAACTAAGCAGAAACTTCAAAAAAGAATTAGAGGTGTCTGGGAAATCCTAAAAGATAAACTTAATTTCAGGGAGAAAAACAGACCCCTGCAAAGACCAAGGAACACAAAATGATGACATTGTTTGGTTTGATTGGCAGATGAGGTATTTGAGGAGGGTGTTAGAGATCCCCATCACAGAACGCATCACTGAGGACCAGTGTTTGCTCCTGCACTCACCTGGCTCTCCCCCAGTCAATGAGCACCTTGACAACAGAGGTCATGCCCATTGGTGTTTTACTCCTTGCCTTCCGCAATGTCTGACACCTTGTTGATGTTCATTAGGTGAGAAAGGAAGGAAAGAGGAAACGGTAAAGGGCTCATATCTGTCTTGATGAAATTGTCCAGTTAGGCTCATTTGGGTGGAGTCATACACTTTCTTTTACCACATAATACTTAGAAGAGCTTCTTTTAAAGTAATAATATCTTGTGTATTTTTCCTGGATTGAAGAAGAAGGAGAAGCAGGTGGAGAAGGGAGGGAGAGGGGAGGGGTACAGATGGGGAAGAGGAGGAGGAACCCCTATGTACAAAAAGTCCTGTCCTGGGCCAGTCTTGAGGAGAAAGGAACCACAATGAATGTGTGTTTAACTGATAAAAGAATTGAGAGAGAAAACTTATGAAACCAACAGAAATAAACTGAATCCCTGGGGAAAAAAGCTAAATATGACCATTCTTCCTTCTTTCATTCAACTACAGTATTTATCATAAACTTACGATGTGCCTTGTGCTGAGCTAGGCACGCAGGGAGTAGCAAGAAGCAGGCCTGTGAAATCCTGCCCTCGTGGAGCATAGGTTAGAGTGGAAAGAGAAGGACTGTAACCAGACAACCACCAGTGCTGAGGAGAGGAAGCAGCTGCTGGGCATTTTGCCAGGAGACTGCCAGCGATGGAGTTCCTGATATTTGAGAGTCAGTTTCTTCTGTCGCTTGGTTTAATATGGTTCTCTTCTCTCCCTGTTTTCCACCTTTCTGCTCATGGCCCTCACTCATCAGCTGACCACATTGCCTTCTACGGTGCAGAATTCTACCAGTCTTATGGTCCCTCCGGCCAGTACATCTTTGAATTTGATGGAGACGAGGAGTTCTACGTGGACCTGGAGAGGAAGGAGACTGTCTGGCGGCTGCCTGTCTTTAGTGAATTTACAAGTTTTGACCCACAGGGTGGACTGAGAAACATAGCTATAGACAAACATAACATTGACATCTTGAGTAAACGCTCCAACTACACTGCAGCTACCAATGGTGTGTGCCCAGCCCTGCCATCTTCCTAAGTCTGCCCCTTCACACGAGCTCTCACTCCCTCCTTCCCCGTGGTGGATACTGGTCACTACTCTATAATGTTCTGTTTTCCAAGGAGTCTTCAGATCTTCTCGTAATAATTACTGAACACTCACCCCCTCCCATCCCCAAATTGCCTATTTCCATGTAATACAAGGATCCTTACTCCAGTAACACAATCCTGAATCCTTCAAGGACGGCCCCAGACCTGCTACCTCAATACGCGGCTTCACAGAGGGAAGGGCATGGGGATAAAGTGTATTGTGGTTCCCAAGCAGGAGGGCAACAGCTCTTCCTCTATCAGATGGGACAATTTTGGTGGGAGGGCCCCTCCCCCCTCTCCCCTCCACCCTTTCCCCTACCCCTTCCCAGATGCTTTGTGGAACCTCAGGGCAGATCTATTCGCAGGTCCTATCAGTGCTGTTTCCTCACCACAGAGGTTCCTGAGGTGACTGTGTTCCCCAAGTCCCCGGTGACGCTGGGCCAGCCCAACACCCTCATCTGCCTGGTGGACAACATCTTCCCTCCTGTGATCAACATCACATGGCTGAGCAATGGGCACCCAGTCACAGAGGGGGTTTTTGAGACCAGCTTCCTGTCCAAGGATGATCATTCCTTCTTGAAGATGAGTTACCTCACCTTCCTCCCTTCTGCTGACAACATATACGACTGCAAGGTGGAGCACTGGGGCCTGGACCAGCCGCTTCTGAAGCACTGGGGTAGGTGTGAGCTCCACCCCTTTTGGTACCTTCTTTTCTCTGCCTTATCAGAGCATCCTGCCTCTCACCCCCTAACTCTCATGGCCCTGAACTAACACTTCAAAGGTTCCTGATGATAGACTTTGCCCTCCTCTCTAAGCCCCGGTCTTTGGACCGCCCCTTCCCCCGCCCCGCACCCCGCAACCATTCCGTCCCAGGTACCTGCTAGAAACGCCCTGTCTTCTGACCTCACAACTTCACTTCCTCAGAGCCTGAGATTCCAACCCCCATGTCAGAGCTGACGGAGACCGTGGTCTGCGCCCTGGGGCTGGCCGTGGGCCTTGTGGGCGTCGTGGTGGGCACCGTCCTCATTATCAAAGGCCTGCGCTCTGGTGGTGCCTCCAGACGCCCAGGGCCCTTATGAAAGGAAGGTAAGGATTCAGATTTATAAAATCAGGAAAGTGGGGGAGGTTGTGAACACAAATGTGGTTGGAAAGATGATGGCACAGAAGCCCCCTAGAACATCCACCGAGGACCCATCAATCTCATGTCTGTCTTATTGCAGGTACATCGCCCATCTACAAGGGCAGAAAAGTGGACGTGCTGATGCCCAGTGCTGTTTTCTGGTCCAGAGCATCATATTCCTTCTTTCCTCCTACACTCCTCTCACTGCTTCTCTGGGGTTTAAGGTGCTGTGTCCCCTCACATCTCACATACCCCTCAGAATGCTCCCCCAACCTCCAAATGTTTTTTCATTTCTCAATTGTTGCCTATTATGGGATTCCTGGAGTAGCCTGCCCACTACCTAATCCCTCAGTGACCCTGAGCTAATAATATCTCCATGGAAGCAATAAACCTTCTTTATGAGTTTTTTACTGAACTTTTTCCGGTCTTTCATCTCAGGATTGACTAGGACCACGGCCCTTTATGCTTCAGGCCCATTAACCTCATTTCCCAGATCATGATTCATTCCCAGTAACACAAAAGAAAACAGTACAACCTGATAAATATTTTGATATCTGAGCTGAGGATAATATTTCTCTCTTCCTTGTGTTCCCACCTTTGGCCACTGGCACTCCCCTCCCCGCAATTGAGGCATCAATGAAGGTAATATATGCCCTGTGCCCTTGGTATAGATTTGTTATGAGAGAAATACAAAAACCAAGAAATAAATCTGTATTCATTTTAATATAGCTCTTAAAATTTATACCAGAGAAATAAGTTAGTAGAAAGAAATTTTGAATCTCAGAATTACCAGAAGTCAAAATTTGTTCCCCAAACTTTAAATTTGTGAAGAACAAATGATGACAGTAAAAGCTTTCTTCTCCTCTCCTCACCCTTGAGGAGATAAGAATTCTCTAGGCAGGAAAGGAAATGGAATTCAGTTAGGAGAGCATTAGAATAAGACAATAAAGTGGGTACCTGAGAAGGACCCAATACTGTGTCCTTACTTACGGTTAGTAACAAGGGGAAAAGGGATGGGAGTAGAAACCACAGACNAGACCACCTAGGGCAGAGGATGATCCTAAACAGAGCTCTGATTCTGGGGGCCCTCGCCCTGACCACCGTGATGAGCCCCTCTGGAGGTGACAACATTGTGGGTGAGTGCATGGTTGAGGGGTGTGGAGACTGGAACTGAGGAACAGGGAACTGGAGGGGCAGGAGAGGGAGAGATTGGTATAGAATTAGTAGGGACTCCTCAAAGATGTTCTCAATATTAAGCAGATCTAAAAATTATGGCAGCTCCCCCTTCAGGAACCCGGGGTCCCAGCCCACCCTCTTTGCTGCCTGTGCTGTTGCACACCTGACTGAGGACATTCTTCTGTTTCTAATATGGACCCAGTGAGTACAGCCTGAAGGGCTCTGTGGCATTCAGTCATGATTACCTCAGAGATTAGGGCTGTCTTCACGAGTGGATGTTTTATTACTAAAAATTCATTAACGATTGCTCCCCAATGTCTTCGAACAACATTTAAAGGTTTTGTATACATATCCTCCTGTAGTTTACCTTGGGGTAAAGAGTCCCACAAATGATGTATACTGTGTAGATATACAAGGGTCCTTTACTTTGTCTCAGGTTTACATACATTTCCGTGGTGGGAGCTGGCACAGGTGAGGAGTGGGTAAGTGAACCCAGCTGGCTGAAGGCCTGCAGACAAGTCACTTTACCACGGGCCTCACTTATCTCAGTTACCTCACATATGCCACCTCACAAATAATCAAATAAAATAGGTGTGTAGACATACTTTCTAAATAATGAAGACATAAATGTCAGTGGTTATTCTTGTTTTCAAATTATTACTATCACAGGTATAACTTCATAATTTTGTTCTTTAACAAAGGAGGGAATATCTTTATTTTTATTTTAAAATTGAGAACTTCATGATGACTTAGTGAGTTAATTCTATTATTCTGAAATCACCAGCCCAAATTGCCGGCCTTTCACTCCATCTATGGAAGTCCTGTAAGAGGAGGAATGGGCAAGGCCGGAGTGATCACTTGGTCCCCTCTGCCTTTAATGTCCACCTCCTTCTACCCTCTCTTCATACGTTCCTTTCTCCTCCTTTCCTTCCAGGATCCATCCCCGGCTCTTATCCCCGTTGTTTTATAGATATGAAGAGTAAGTTTGTAAAAACTAAAGTACAAAAGCCGAATAGTTCAAAGGGGAAGTGAAATGGAGGTGACTCTAATGGTCAGCAACTGTAGTAACCATAGCTGCTCCCATTCTAATTTTTTTCGTCAGTGACAGTTTCCCCTGCTTCTCCAGGGCACGTCCCAGTTTCCTTTCCCCTGAGTCACACCAGGGTGCCCTGCTCAGGCTTGGCTCCAGGTTAGGCACAGGGAGCACAGTGCCAAGGGCCCGTGATGCTCTAGAGCCCCATGAAGATGGTTTTTTGCTTTAAAATTAGAAGAAAATAACAAACTTTTAGGGTAGGAGAAAATGTTTTGAATTTTAATCCAGCCTGGGTTACATTTGTCTTTGTACCAATACAGTCATAAAATATGATTTTTAATATTTTGATGGAGGACTGTGCCCACAAGTCAGAATGCAGCCTGGTCACTGCTGATTCTAACTTTCATCTGGTTGTGCTACCTGAATATCTGTCAGTCTTCCCCAAAATCTCTGTGACCCTCGAGAATAACAATTGACATTTAATACACATGTTTGAGCACACAGTGAACTAAATTTTGGGGATTTAAAAATAAGACATGCTAGAGGGTGCTCCGATGGCTGATGGAAAGAAAATGGTGCAGGAAAGCAGGACCATTGCTGAGCGGGGCAGTGGACCCGGCTGAGGCTGAAACTGTAAAAGTGAATTAGTTCCCGTTGGCCCAGCAGCATGGTGTTTTTTATTGACAGCCTGCAGCCCAGGATAAGTACCAGATGAAAGGAATAATTGCACATACTCGTGTTGGAAAAGGAGTCAAGAAGATTGCAAGAGGCTTTGCTGGAAGGTCTCTTAAGTGACCATCCAAGGCAGTCATGCTGGGTAGGACTGAGAAACAGTTACACTTGGAAAGCAGGACATTGGGGTGGAGGGGTTGGAGGTCATAATGTGGTCAAAATATGTGGAATGAGAGAACTCAGCTAAAAAGTTGGTAACTAAGCAGAAACTTCAAGAATGAATTAGAGATTCCTGGGAAATCTAAAAGATAACTTCATTTCAGGGAGAAAAGCAGACCTGCAAAGACCAAGGAGCATAAAATGATGACATTGTTTGGTTTGATTGGCTGATGAGGTATTTGAGGAAGGTGTTAGAGATCCCCATCACAGAACAGACACTGAGGACCAGTGTTTGCTCCTGCTCTCACCTGACTCATCCCCAGTCAATGAGCACCTTAACGGCAGCAGTCATGCCCTTTGGTGTTTTACTCCTTGCCTTCCGCAATGTCTGACACCTTGTTGATGTTCAGTATGTGAGAAAGGAAGGAAAGAGGAAATGGTAACAGGCTCATATCTGTCCTGATGAAATTGTCCTGTTAGGCTCGTCTGGGTGGAGTCATGCCACGCTGGCTGCCATTCTGCTTTGGCATCCTCAGTACATTTTTATTTTTCAATTTCTGAAAATATTTGAAGCTCTACATAGCATCGCTAAATATGAAAGAAATTGCATAATGGATGAAATCCT